ATTTAAAAAATATTTTATATTTAATACATTTAAGACATTCATTTTTTTTATAAGAATATTTTAAAGTTACAATTTTTGTCAAAATCATACGTTTTTCATAATTAATTAATTTTTTTTCAAAATGTTTTCCTAAGCACATGTATATTTTAAAAATTATACTTTTGTCAAAATCATATGTGATTCACAATTTATTAATTTTTTCAAATACGTAATTTTGTAATCTCACGTCATTTAAAATTTGAAAAACAATGATTCGTATTAAACATTAAAAAAGAAAAATAACAAAAAAACAGAATCACATGTGATGTGTAACAAAACACATTTAAAATATATAAGCTCACATGTATTTCAAAATGCAATTCATAATTTATATAATATTGTAGATAACATACATATCTTTTCTACCATGATCAATATATGATATGTTGACGAAAATTAACAATTCTTTTTAGGAAAAAAAGAACGTCGATTAATTGTGGGTATCACATGTGATTTTTGATGAAAAATTGTAATAAATCTTAAATAAACTACTTCAATAAAATGAATATTTACAAAAAACTAAATCAAAATTATTTTAAATGTTGCAAAAAATAAAAAATAAAAAATAATTATGCTTAAATCACAAAAATTATAAATAAAAAACCATGAATAAATACCTTCATTGCATATATTAAATAATCTTTATATAAATAAATGAATTTTATCTGTATATAGCAAATGACATGTATATCCGTTTAGATGGTTTTTAACAAAGTTTTATTTAAAGTATTATTTAATGAAATGATTAGCCCGGAATTGTTTTATTATTCTTTTAAATTGGTATCTCTCGTTTGAGCACCTTATGAACACTTTGTAAAACTAAATTAAAAATCAAAAACCAAAAATCAAAATCAAAATCGAAATTGAAACTCAAATCAAAACCAAAACACTAACCCACATTTTGAAGTTGCATCACAAAGATCAATGAAGCATGGAGGGAGAAGAACTGAGAATACAATCTAGCTAGAAGATCTGGTCAAATGGTAGAAGATTCTATGGATTCGTTACAATCGACAGTCATGGTTGGACATACGAGTCACAGCCGGCCGAGAATAGGAAAGATCAATGACGGAGCTACTAGCTACTAGTTTTAAGGGAAAGGATAAGACCACCTATGCGAACGAGAAGAATATACGACGGCGACACAAAGTGATTGGAGTTGGTGGTGCTGTTACAGTTAGAGATGGAAATGGAAATTTTACCTGTATGGGTGCCCGACCCTAATGAGGCGGGGTTCTCCGGTTTGATGGGTACCAAGTTGGGGACAAAGATTTATTTTCATATAGGAAGCAGGTTTGGTCGGGGTCGGGGATGACATTACCCGTCCCTAATCCAACCTTGATTAAAGTTTTTATATTATTTAATATATTTATATAGTGTATGTGTGTGTATATATGTATAGAGAGACACACAGACACACACATTTATTATTAAATGACAAATATATTTTATTTTCATTATTGGTAGTTATTGTAGTGCCGACTTATGGATTCATTCCCTCTAAACCCATCGGAGATTAGTTGGGGGGGAGATCAGGGACAGGGGTTTTAAATGGAGATCGGGGTCGAGGATGACTAGCCACCCAGTTTTCGTCCCTAGTTACAATTAGGATGCTTTGAAGATCACGATTGTAGCGATAAGTGGCGACGACAACGAAAAGGTGAAGGTGTAGTGGTGGTTGGCTTGTGAAGTGAAATTAAATGAGGTATGAGGAGAGAGAGAGAGAGAGAGAGAGAGAGAGAGACGCGTAGACGAGGGTAAAGGGGAAATCTAATTCTTTTAGCATGTTGCTATAATCAAATGATAAGATGAGTTATCAGCAACCAATTTAATAATTTAAAGTTTTTTATATATTTGTCAACGATGCAAATACCTAAATTACCCTTTCATGTTTATTCGCGAATTTTATAATTTCTAAAGTTCTCAAATACTTAAACACCTACATATATGCGTCTATGTACATATAATCTGACAAATAATGGTTAATACATAACGAAAAGTATAGTTTATTCATATATGTACCTTAAGACGCTTTGAAAAATATAATGTATTCATATAAGTAGCTTAGGGCGTTTATCCAAGAGGGTTTGCTTTTGTGCCTTTTACGTGTATTGTATCATTTACGAAGATATTAGAAAATGAGTTTGATGATTTTTGCATTTATATGGTGCATCTTTGAATCCTATTATCACATTGGGATGAACTTGATAAAGAATTAACGACTACGATTTATGATTAAATTGCAACATCTCTATTTTTTTATTGATTGAAAATATCGTAACATGATTATTATTATTAATTGTGTACTTTTATATCCATGCAATGCCGCGAAAGCCGTGAATTTTAACAATTTTGAAGCTTCACTGGTTTTATTATAGAAGATTTAACGATGATATAAGTTACACTTGGTTTTTACATATTAATACAATTTAAATAAATAAGAGATATGGTTCCAATTACTATACAGTCTATCGATGAAAAAAAAACAGTTTAAAATCCAACATATTTAAACGACTCCACACATGTTTTCGATTTACACCAAGAGCAAAGAATCAATAGATCGAGAGCGAGACCGAGAGTTCTAGAGCAATTGAACGAGAGAACTTTTAATAACTCATGGTGAATATTAGTTTGAATCTCACCTTGGGGGATAGGGAGAAGACATAGAGGTATGAAAGGATGAATGCATGAGTAAAAAATGTTAAAAGTATCTTGGGAACATGGAAAGAAAAGATAATAATGTGCATTGGTGACTTGTACTATATGTTATTTTAATTGTAAATTTAGAGATTTTAAGACTGAATGCATAAAATTTTAGTACTTAATGCATTATGAGTTGTTTTTAAGAGTCTTAAAACTTTGTGCATAAATGTATAGTACTTTGTGCATTAAAAATTGTTTTTAAAACTTTTGATAAACCTGGTTTATAAGGTAGTATAGATTATTTTTTAAAACTATTTTATTTGGTTTTTCAAAAATTCATAAACCAAATGATCTTTAATAAAAATTTAACAATACAGCAAAAGAGATTTTTATTATATGAAGGACACCATTATATTCGACTTTTCTTAATTATATGAATTTATTAAAAAGAAAAAAAAAATTATCAACAGAGTAAAAAGGATTGCTGCTGCCCAGGATCGAACTGGGGACCTTTTGTGTGTAAGACAAACGTGATAACCACTACACCACAGCAACTTGTTGATTTGTTAGCATTTTCAATATATAACTCCAAAAATAAAATCTAACAAAACCTTTATTTTTTATTTTTTAAAGAATCTGTTGGAGATTTCTTATTTCATTTCTTACTGTAAAAAACGGTACTAAAATCAACAAGCATAAATGTTTAGGTTGTTTTCCCTTTTTTATAAACTGGTAAATATTTGAATATACAAACAGACTCACAGTTAATAATATTATTAAAACTATTACCAAGAAATAGAAAAAACATAAATGTTTATAAAAACATAATATTTTAAATCAAAATAAAAGGTGTTGGTATTTTTTTAAAATTACTTATTTTTGTGCTATTGAAACGTGTAGAAATCATATGTTATCAACTCAAAAATGTTGTAATTAATCATTTTGAACTGTATCATTCATCATATGTCAAACAGTCTTTATATCAACAATCAAAAATTAATGTTTGAATTTTTTTTCAAAAATAATATAAATCTAACTTAGGTTTTTAAGATACTTCCATATATGCATTTGACCTATTTCCTTGATTTCTTGTAACATCATGTGAGTAAGGAGAAAATACATTAGTTGATAGGGTGAGGATATATGCATCCCTTCTTATAGGTAGAGTGCACCCTTTCCTACATTTTAGGTCAAAGTCAATTAATTATATTATTTTTTTTCAAAAGTTCATGTCTTATAAATTATTGTTTTCTAATTTTAATTTTCTAAATTTATGTTTTATAATAAATTTTTGCCAACGAACTATTTTTAAATTAATTCAAATAGCTATAAATTATTTTTAGTTTTTATAATTGTATTGTTAACATTTTAATTAATTAAAAATTTATATAGGTATTTTTTCTAAATAAATATTTAAAACTACAAAGATAAAATAATTTAATACAAAAAAGATCATCAAAATAAGTTAATTGATAAATCAACAAATAGAGTATAAAAAGTCTGAAAATATTACAACTCAATCAAATGAAATAAATTCCGTAGTACGATTACTAAATAACATTTGCTCGTACTTATTTATTCGGGTCATGTACGGAGTAGCCCATGCGGTCGCGCAATCATATTTGTAACGAAACCAATTTGGCATGATAGAAGGTATCGGGTGTCCTTCTGCCAAAAATATTTTCAAGAAGTCAAATTTTTTTCTTCCAACCACCTATAAGCTTATGTTTTCAAAATTTCTTTTATATATATTTTTAGTATAACAATATTGTTTTTTTATAAACTAATTTAATATTTGAATTTTTAATAAAAAAAGATGAATTATTATCTGAATTTTTAGAGATTGTTGAAAACTGGTGAAATTAGTATTTGAATATTCAAAAACTTAAATAAGAATTGATTAGTTACTTTTTACGTTTTAAAGTCAGAAAAAAATGATGGTTTATTTTCTGAATTTTTAAAATTGCAGAAAGATTAATGATATATTCTATTAAAATATAGATAAAATGAAAATTAAGAATTTGCATATGAATTTTTAAAGTTTTTATTCGAATTTTATAAGGACAAACTACATGACTATATACATATGGTTAAAATTGGTAAAATAATAAAATAAATGATATATTATTTTTTATAAATAACAAAGCTATTGTCTTTCCAATTTATTGGTTTTAAATTTGATTAATATATAATACAAATAAAAATTATAATTAATATAGATTAAGAGAGAGAGAGAGAAAGAGAGGGGAGACATGAGAGAGAGAAAAATTCAAAATTTCAGATAATTTAATGTTATTAATAGGTATTCTTTGACTTTTTTAATAGGTGGGGGTGTAAGGATTAAAAAGAATATGAATAAAATTATGATTGTATTTTTTGTTATAGTTTAATCACATATGTATGAAAAAGATACAAGGCCGTCCCTGGGGGAGGGCGGCACGGGAGTATGCCCAGGGCCCAAAAATCTCAGGGGCCCAAAATTTTTTCTTAAAAATACAGTAGTAGTCTAAAAAAATTTAATAAAATAGAGAAACCCCAAACATTGTATTATATAACAAGAGGCAAAAAGAATTTAGTAGATGATAAGAGCCCAAAAGCATATCAACTAATTACATTAGAGAATAAAATAAAAAAATTGATCATTCATTATATGCTATTGTTTATTGTCTCTCTCATTTTTTTTATCTCCAACAAAGTACAATGATATTGGCTATTTTGTTATCTCTATATACTTGACTGTTTTCGTGCTTCAATAATTTAACGTTAAGATCATGTGCTTGCTATTGCTATATATTTTTGTTGGATATTTTTATCAATTTCTGCTTCTATTGACTATTGTTATTTGGATATGTTGTTCTAATTGTTTTTATTGACTATTGTTATCTATTTTTGATTCTACATAAACTATTTTAGTATTGTTTGACAATCAATCTATTGTTCGACAATCAATTTATTGTTCTTATAATTTATGACGTGTTTCATGGTTTTGTGATTAATCAATAAATTTTTTCTACTAGATATATTTAATAATGTTTCTTATATATGTCATGTTCTATAAACTTTTAATCTTAACATCTTATTTTACTTGAGCAAAAAAAAAATAGAAAAATAGAATTTAAATATTTTCATCAATTGTTTGACTTATATATCTTTCATTGAGATTCCGCCACACCACAAGATTTTATTCAAGTGCTCAAACAATCATTTGTTGAGCTTGCATATTATATGTTTAATTCATTATTTATTCTTATTARATCTCAAWKGATCATCTTTTCTTTCATATTCTTATTGATCCTCATTTGTCTATTTGTCTAGAAAACCGTGATAATCTTCTTTATTATTGATATCCCATTGACCCTCACGATTACTTCATTCACATGAATTCTCTTTTTTGTATCAAAATAACACATATTTCTTGTTATGAACTAAAAAAAATTCTTTCTTTTTACAAAAATTTATCAACCATAGTTTATATATTATTGGTTTCAAATTACCTAACAAGAAGTACGTAAATTTAAATACACTTATATATCTATAATAAAGATAAATAAGATTTCTTTTCTCAGTAAATTATTAACATTTCTTGTACTCAATTTTATACCAATGAAGAACATTTATTGAATTTTTTTGTACTTATTGAAGGTCACTACAAGAAAAGTGAGTTTTGATGATGCGCTTTTTAGCAATGACATGTTTCTACCACAAGTTATGGCAACGACATGTTGTTGTTATATACTCTTTCTGATGAAAATGGACTTTTAGCGACGACAAAAGTCGTTGCTAAAAATCTTGTTTCTTGTAGTGGGCCCTATTTTTTACGTTCGCCCAGGGATTATAAAATATCAGGAACGAGCCTGAAAAGATATATACCCATTTTCTTATGATTTTATAAAATTTAGAGTAAGTTACATGCCTCTTTATATGTTAAAACTTTTTCACTCTTTTTTAAAATAATTATTATGGATTTGCATCATTTGGTAAGCATATTTCGTCTCTTGGCATAACTTTGTTAAACCTTTTCTCTTAAGTAGGTTAACCAAGAGGGCATTTTAGTCATTATACCCATTTTCATTAATGAAAGTGAGAACTAAACTCAGTTGTCCATCGTCGTTCCTACATCACAGATATAGGGAACCCTTCTCTGGTGTTACCATGAACACTGACTCCTTCTCCAACTTGTCGGTGAACTCTTCAGTCTAAAATTACAGCGCTGTTGACCCCTGCCTTCATGTTGCTGCCCCATCCCCCCATTTTTTTCCCCGAAAACTGCTCCTCAGCCCATCTTTGTCCCAACCTCATATATGCACAAATATATAGGCATCATTGATGGTAAAACCACACCTTTCTTGCCCCCGGGCCCTAGTCGAAGAAACCCAATCCCTCTCCTCATCTTCATTTCACCAAACAAACCCTAAATCTAAATAGAGATGCAGAAGGAGAACCAAATCCAAAACGCATATCCATATATCTTCCACACTCTAATCCCTATACCATATCACAAATCCAAATCTTGTCGTCTTTCCTTTCTTTCTATAGCTACTCTGACTTGAATGAACAATGGATTTGGTTTTTCAATGACATACATGTTGATTTGAGAGAGTTGGGATTTGGGGACAAGAAGATGGGATGTGACCTAGTTAAGATTTGAAAGACGAAATTTGGATCGAAGAAGATCAAAAAGATCGATGATAAATTGATAATTTAGGGTTTGATGGGTTTGTATTACAATTTTTTTGAAAGAATTGGCACAAATTTATTACTTATCTTTTTGTGTTCATGTTGATGATAACGATGTTCTTGAAATTTTTGTACTAGTTGCTCTTCGTATTTGTAATTAAGAATGTTCATGTTGTTGTTTTTTTTGTATTCATAAATTTTGATGTTCTTGAATTTGTTGCTTATTTATATCTTGATGTAGATGATTTCATGCTTATTCCTCTTTTTGTGGTGTGTGTTGTCAAAGATGGAAAGATCATCCATGCTGTAACTAGAGATGGAGGAGGGGGAGGAAGTGAGTGTGGGACACATCTTAGTAGATCTCTACAAATAATTTTAAATTTTTTAATACAAAATAAGGTAAAATGACTAAAATGCCCTATAATCGACAGATCTCTACAAATAATTTTAAATTTTTTAATACAAAATAAGGTAAAATGACTAAAATGCCCTATAATCGACCTACTTAACATAATCATTTTTAACAGAGTTAGCATGAGAGACTAAGGACATTAAAAAAAGTAAATTACAATGTTTGTAATTTGTCATTATTTCCAAAAAAGGGACCAGAGACGTTATACAACATATAAACCACATGGACGAAGTATGTAATTTACTCTAAATTCTAGTAAAAATTAGAGTAAACTTCATTTTTTGGCCTTGTATTTCTTATTCTCATGGTTTTGGTCCTTAGAGTTTATTGAATAAAAATTTGTCATCATAATTTATGATGTTGCTTGGGTTGGTCCTTCTCATTAACGACTTCTATTAACTCACTAACTAAGAGAGCAGTTTAATCTTTTACCACTCTTGTTTTTTCTTACTAAAAATGTATATAG